ATACGGTATGTTTATATAGTTTAATGTATATATACTGTATACATATATATTATATAATATACTGTATATATATATATATATATACTTTATAGTTCAATATGATATCGATAGAAGATATTTTTATAACAAATTCCATCCTTATTTCATTTAGAGTAGTTAAACTAGTCATAATAAACGAGGCGTATGTCTTTTACAGCTTTACGAACGTATTAAACAATTTCTTATGATTATGCACGTATTGATTAGGCCAGTCGTGCCTAAGAATAGCTTAATTATCACTTATAGGGTCTATAAATATTTTCATTTTAGCAACTACTTCCTTTCTTCTTACGCATTTATCCTACTATTAATAAAGGAATAAAGGAAGAAAAGATGTCACTAACTTTCTTTTATTATAATGAAAAATCTTTATTTTTGTCTTCCTCTCATCCTCTTATCCTTGAGTTTTTATGATCCTATAATTTTGAAATTTTCTATATAGAAACTATAATCTGTATGCTAATTTCAATTTGACAATCTTCAATATATTCGAGTATCTGTAAAGAAAATTAGTCATTCCTTATATGAGAAACAAACATCGAAAACGAATGCTATTTTTCTCCTCTTCTAAATTTTTTTCTTTTATTTTTCAGAGAAAAGATGAAGGATTAGAGGAAGAAGGTGGGTGAATGACTGTTTATATATATATATTTGCAGATATGTCTGCAACGAGGAGGAAAAGATTTAAAAAAAGCTAGATGAATATCAATATTATAATTCATACATTATTCTCTATTATAAACGGTTAATGTATGGAAAAACCATGTTCATTTTAAGAGTATAAGAAGAAATTAATCCCAAATGATTTAAAACTCTTCGCTTAGAAATTTCTTTATTTGTATTTATTTTATTATATTCTGTAAACCTCAGCTGCCAAATCCATCGGGGTTCAATGCGTAGAATAAGAGTTATATACTTTTTAAGGTAATTTTTAAGATGCTTTTTTTCTTATGTTTCCACCAAAGGAGATTATTCTCTCTTGGATTAGATTAAACAACATTAAGTATTTCAATATTTTTAAGAGACTTTTACGAAGATTTTACTTTTAGAGGAAAGAAACGGAAATCATTAATTTTATCTAATTGCTCTAAACTCTCTACTCTATTTTCCTTCTTCTTTCATTCTTTACTTTTAATTTAATTTCTGCTTCTTAAAATAAAAAAATGGAATTTTTTATTCTTATTTTAGTATTTATATTTTTGATGTAAACTGAAAATTTAACATTATTTATACTTGATAAAAACAAGCCTAAACTTATTTTAATATTGAATAACCGTGTAAGTACAAATACTATACTAGTTAATAAAAATAATTATACAGTACATAGCAACATATCCAGATGGCTATAAGGCGGCAGAACAAACGCTTCTCTAGGCCTAAAACATCCCCTAATGAATATGCATAAACCGGCCGCATATATATATATATAGATATATATATATAAAAGGCAAGGGCATTGATCAGTTGGGCGAAAAAACGCGAAAAGAAATATGAGATTTCGTCTTTTCAAAGTTTCTGTTATTTGGTTCTGGTCAACTCTGATTGGAGTTTCTTACATAGGATTATGTTATATTGTACATTCTACATTTCAACGTTTATTCGCTTATTTTATGCTGGCCCAAGTAACTGCTAATTGGTTTTGCACGAAACTCGTCAATACAACTTACAAACCGAGTCCAAATGATCGGAAGAAGAGTAGGATAAACAACTCAGAAGTTCTCTATATTGTCGAATGCGATAAGATAGCTTATCCGTACTGGTCTTGGAAGCCCTGCCTTATCTGCGGAATGCACAGACCGCCCCGTTGCCACCACTGTCCGCTTTGCAGTTGTTGCATCCTCAAACGTTCCCACCACTGCTTTATTACCGATTGCTGCATTGGATTACGTAATCAGCGTTTCTTCATCGTCTTTACATTCTGGTGCACTATTGGTTGCACATTCTGCCTATTACACGCTACTGCCTACGCCTATTGCGATTTTGTACCGCGTTTCGGTATTAGTCAATTATTTTTACCAACTGTAATTATTGGCTGGCTGAGGGGGGATGGTACTCCCAATCTCAACGTCGTTATGGTATCTCTTCTTTACAGCGTCATCTGTTTCTTCATATTCTCTTTCTCCTCTTTCATACAGCAAATGACCTGTGCCCTCTGCGGTCAGACAGCATTCGAACTACAAAACAATATAAAGGTTGTTAAAACAGACAGTTATAGTAACTTAAATGGCGTTTTTGGCAAAAAATGGTGGATAAATTTTATATTTCCTGCTCACTTTCTCTATGAATGTAATGATGATGGAATTAGCTAAAGACAAAAAAAAAGCTAATTAAAAGAAATAACAGCCATTGATTTTACACAAGTACTGATTATTTTATTTAAATGATTCTTTTTACGCGATAATACTTGAATTAATTACCTCCTCAATATTTCTATCATTTTTCTCTCTTTTCTTTTTTCTCTTCTCTGCCTTTTCTATATTTTTGTTTATTTGTATACAATTTATATTATGTTTTTGTTACTTTCTTTTCCTAATGTTTCCCTATATTTCTCTCTCTCTCTCTCTCTCTCAGTCGCTCTGTCTATCCTCAAGTTTTTTCTATTCCCTATTTTCTGTGTTTATGATTTATTCTTATTAAAGGTAACTTTATTTGGATTTCTACTGATATACATAGTATAGTGTTTACAGATTGAACATATATATATATATATATATATACATATATTAATATATAGTATATGAATATATACAATAAATTGTTTATATATTATTACTACTATTTAGTATAATAAGGAGATATGGTTAAGTAAAAGTTAAGTAACTTAAGTAAAATAGTAAATTACGTAATATAAATGGAAATAAACAGGAACTATTGTTCAACAAATGAGAAGATAACAAACGTCACTAACTTTTAAAAAAATGGAGAAAGCCCCTCCCCTCCTTTCTCCTCAAAAAAAAAGAAGAGAAAGATAAACAAAATCATTCGAATAGACTTTTGATATTCTTTTTTCTTACTTAAATAGAACAATGAATATGTTTGTACAATATAGACGATGCTAATAGATAAAATGTCTTATTTTCTCGCTTATAACAGTCATTTAAAGGGAAAACATCTGCTTGAGACCCAGTGCAAGAATTAACTGATTCGTTTCCATCAATAGATCAAAATATATAACCTGTTTCTATAGGAATAAAAAAATTTGCCCTATTGTGAAATATTATTATATATGATTTGACGTATTGAATGAATAGGCCTAAATTTGGATAAGAAAAAAAAGTGAATATTTCAAAAGATTTTCAATATATGACGATAGATTAGAATGGTACTTTCCCTTCTACTTTTCGTCTATCACTCGTGGAATAACCAGTGAAATTTTTTGTTCGTGACTGCATAATGTTGGAATAATTCGGCCTATGTCTTTATTCTGCATTACAGCTAAAATACAGTATTCGTAGAAGATTACAGTATTTGCTCTTGTTAATTTAAAAAAAGAGAGTCGAAATATATTTCCCGGTGTTGTGAAAAAAGAAGTGAGTAGTAATCTTTTAATACAAACAGCTAAAAGGTCAAGACTAAGACAAAGCAGGCTAGGAGCTTCTGAATTCCCAAGCAATTTCATCACTAGACTAAAAATGACAGTCTAATTGCCTCTAGATCTTGGTCAAGATGAAAGCCTACACCCGGCGTTCGTGACTCTTTGAATGAGAGCATCAAGTTTCTGACGGAATTCGACTAATCAGAACATGACTGTGACTGTAGATGTATGTAATAAAGGCGATAGATGCATTTCCTGCGTAGGCCTAACGGGCTAATGGCCAGCTGATGGGTTTTTAATCAAATAGGGCGTTAATAATTTGTTTATTGATCAATTGTAAGATTTCGCGCAAGTAGTCATGCATTTGGATGTTGAGGACAAGCAAGACAAATTGGAGCAATAGAACATTCGAACTAGATTCTAGATTATAACCTCAGAATTGAAATAATACTCCAGGTTATATTTTTGAGTTTTGCAAATATTTTCATTCTAATTCTCTGTATCAGTTTTCTAATGTCTGCGTGCAAGTCAAAACTCAATTTCAATATTGTTATCACAATATTGCGCAATTCCAAACCTTATTAGACCACTCATCTCTAGCTGGAATTTAGCGTGTGAGGTTAACACGATTCTGCTAACCAACAGCACGTAACTTATTAACATGACTTTTGATATCGTTTATTTATTAGCCCTTTTCACCTTATCCCCTCCTTAAACTGTCTAGTGATCTATTGTAAAAAAAAAGCCTAAACAAAGTAAAGAACAAGGCTTTTTCCGCCTGTATCTTATTTATTCAACAGTGTATTAGATTCTGTTTATATAACATTGCCAATAATACACATCAACTTATTTTAAAACAAATTTCCAAAATTATCATTTCTTAATAGAATCGGCTTTATTCTCTTATAAGATTGACAATATTCTCTGTTTATTTTGGGTTACTTCCTAAGCTCTGCAATCTCTGTCACAAAGATAATTAAGCTTGTTCTCTATAAGTGAAAATTAAAGCAAAAAAAGACAATTATCGCAAGATATTATTGCGAAAAAAATCTTCAACTTGAAAAAAAATTGGAAAACTTTTTATTTTAGTTTTTTTCTATAATTTAAGTTTAGCTCCCCCTCTCTTACTACTTAGATTTCGGGCCTTCGAATTCTGTATATGAGGCGCCACCTACGGGTAAAAGTTTCAAATTTCCTTAAACATTCAATTGGTAATACTGTCAATATACATTTTTTTTGAAAATTGTGAATCATTATACACATTGACGCATATTTAAGTACATAAATACTTACATACATACACACCACATAAATATATATATGTATATATATATATATTTCGGTATATATGTACTTATATAGTCATATACGTACAACATGTTGGCGTTTTTTAAATATCAAGAAAGTTTTTTTTTCAGCTGAACGTTTAAGAGCAGCAGCCTGTTTTAGGTTGAGCTTCTGGAATGGTATCACTAACAAGAATATCACTTCTTCCAGCCAAAACAGTTCTACTTGAAGTTGGCGTTGCTGCAGGCTTATTTTTTGCTTGTTCAACCATTCCTTAATGAATGAAAAAAGTTTTGAATATTCTATAATAATTATATTGTTAAATTAATACAACTTTTTGATAAATCCCGAAACATATCATCTATCCCTTTATTAGTTTTTGCGGAAGTTTGATAGTGTTTGGCTCCAACAGATTTAGAATAACTGAAAAGAAATTAAAAGTTACAGACAGATTATCTTAAAGTTTTATCAGTAAATGGCACTGTATACACAGTATAGTAAAATAATATTATCTTATCTAAACATTCCTTTAGACAATAGCTTGAAAACTGATTTGGAAAAAGATTATTAATACTTACTCTTCAGCATCTTGCAATGGCACAACCCTACTTTTTTCTAAATCCATTTTGTTTCCAACGATGGCTAGACTTACTTCATCTTTTAAAGTTTTTCTTAATTCTTTAACCCAGTTTTTAACCTATGTAGTAAAAATACATTAGTGAACAACTTACTATTCATACTCAAATTATTTAAGTTTACTCTTTGGAAGGAGTCTTCATCAGTGATGTCGTACACTAATACTGCACCGTTACTATCTCTGTAATATATCGGTCCTAAAGCGTGAAATCTTTCTTGACCAGCTGTATCCTTTTAATGTACAAAATATTAGTAAAAAGGTTATGAGAATATGCTTTAAGAATAATTACCCAAATTGCTAAATTGACTCTTGTATTGTCAATATTGACTTTTTTAGTTGAAAAATGAGCCTAGTTATAGGGGAAAGTTATAATTATAATTCACTATCTAAGAATAGGATTTACCTGTAAAGTAGATACGTGTTTATCATTGAACTTGTCCTCAATGTATCGGATGACCAGAGATGTTTTGCCAACGGCCCCTTCACCGAGAAGAACGACTTTGAAATTGAAGGCTTTTACACCCGCCATTTTATTCAATTTTTACTATTTATTTCAAAAAGCTAGAGCTAATTTTTGAACTTGATAACACAAAATATTAAATCCACTATTATAACATAGACAAGTATATGGATTTATAAATACAATTTCAGTTCTGAGATAATCAAAATTTTTGACAGATTTTCAGTCACTGTCATATGAGGAAGTTACGCAAAGTCACGTGACCTTCAGTCTATTTACCATCCGTGAGAGCGTTAAAAACGTTAAGCGCATAATATATATTCATTATTCTTCAACAAAGTTATACTTTAGAGTTTGAGGTTTCCCGGTATATTCCCGTGACGTAATCAGTTCTCAGCGCCTGTTTTTACACATTGAGTGAGTATTTCACAATTTAATAATTAACGTTGGAATAATTTAAATAATACTTAAACCAAAACATTAAAGAAATGCTTAATCCCATAATCTTTTCATTTCTGACGATTTTTGATAATGTGTTCCTAAGAAGTTTTCTGATTTTTCTGGAACCCCGGGTGCAAGACATACGGGTTCTTATTAAGAGCGTTCCTAGTTCTCTTGGGTTCTATTTGGGGATTGATTCTATCTGCCATCATATCAAGGATATTCTTAAAGCCAAACTTTGTTAGTTAAATATGCAAATGTTTTCTGCCAGTTTTCATAATATAGAGATTCATATGGAGTGAGAGAAAAGTAATTAGGAAAGTATGGAACCTCGTAGCTTCGAACATTTTTTTGGAAAAAATATGGGTTTCCAAAAAAAAAATTCTCCACCATTTTCACATTCAAATTTAATATAGTTTATAGCCAGGAGAAGTATCTCATTTATTTATATACACATTCTTTGGAGAATGTTGCATACTGTCGCTGGTTTTAAACAGTTTTGGAATTCTTTCAACACTTGGTTATATTCTACTAATTTGATCTTTTAGCTAAATGAAAAGAATAAAACTCTTGACTTTTGCTTTAAATACTATAGAATTTTCTATTCATCAACTAGGATACTCATTTGTTGTCTTTTATGATAGCTACACGGCAGCCACCATGTTGGTTTGCTTCGTGTCCCACGTGACTTATACTCGTAATCACGTGACTTATTCCATGTAAAATGGTTTTTTAGTCTTCAGAATCTAAAAATCTCCATTGAATTTGTGAAACTCAATTGTTTATATGACATTTTCAGAAATGGAAGCGATGATACTAAACGGGGAAAAAGATGAAGAAAAAGAAAATGAATTGGAAAGCAAATGTGTCAAATTAAGAAATTCAGAACATGTCAATAGTAAAGTAATAATTTTTGCTTCTACCGTTCAAACATACTAAGCTTATTACCTAATCATAAAATTGTATGATTTTATTTCTCATCTGAAAATGGTCCTTTATAAATTGAAAGTTAAATTTTTAATATACCATTTAATATTTAAATTAGACATTTTAAAATAGCCTTATAGAGTATACAGTAAAAATTTTAATCATCTTTGACTAAAAAGTTGAAGTTATATTGATTTATATATTCTAAATTATTGAATTATTTGTACAGATTGACGAGAAAATAAATCCTATACCTGAAGGAAAAATTAGTGAAAATTCCGAAGCAGAGAAGGATGATGACAAAAATAATTCAGCAATAGTTGTAAGCTCAGGTTCTGAATCTTCTTTTGAAGATACTCAATCTAAAAAATCAAAAGAAGAAAGTAAACAAGCATCACTTAGCCCTTATAAACGCCTACTTCATACGTATAGTTCATCCCGCTGCTCTGCAGATCACACAATTAAAATTGGGATAAGTTTATGCCGCTACAACTTTTTGAAATTAAATCAGCGTTCTTCATCATCAAATGCACCAGAACTAGCCTCTTTGGAGAAATTTTGCTCAAATCTAAATTTATCTACCAAGAATTTTGAATGTGAATCTTGTCCATTTAAAACAAATTTTATAAGCTCTCTAAATTATCATAAAGAGACTGTGCACCGTACTGAAGACGGAAAATTAGTCTGTGCTGTGTGTAAACAGTTTGAAACTTCAGAATATTTAATATATCATTCTCATATGAAAGACGCCCATAACGCTAGTCTTAAAACTGTAAATTGGAAAGGTGGACCTTTTCTGTGTAGTAATTGTAGTTATGAAACAAACTTTCGAAAAGCCTTTATTCGACACGAAGAAAAATGCTTGGATAGGGTAAGTTACAAAATATAATGTTTTATTGCTATTTAAATCGCAAGTTGATATACTATTCACACTTTTCTAAAAAGAGAAATTCAAAGCTTCGCTGCTTTTAGAATCGTAATTTTAAACGGAATGAAAGCAGGATTTTCTTTTATTTAATTTGCTTTTTCATTTCACAGCATATAATGTCAGGAGAAAAGGATATTCCCACTGATTCCGGGAAATCAAATACTAACGTTCAGCCCTCCAAAAATAATACGCCTAACCCGTCTCTTCGATCTCTTTTACCAGCTCAAAAAGTAACTCAGGCGATGGTCACTAAAACAGGTCTAAAAACAACCCAAATATCACCGAATGGGCCAATATTAGCCCTACCTGCGCACGCAAGACCTATACCAACAGCTCCAGGACAACCTCAGCAGTATGCTATCAATAATCAACTGTATCAGCTAATACAATCTCCTAATGGAAATGGCTACGTTCTTTCACCAATACCTGGTGTTGTTTTGCAACATAACAACATGAAAAGTGTTCTGAAAACATCTACCTCGACTTCTAATACGACATCTACCGTTACAAACAACTCAATACGCTCTACTAATAGCAAACAAAATTCCGTACCCAACTTAGTTGCAGCAGACAAAGGAATGATGAATGAGATATGTGAATTATGCCACAAAGGAGTTAAAGATAGAGATGCACTGCGGCAGCATCTTTCTTTTTGTCATAACTTTAAAATTCCTCAAGAATTGATGGACATGGTGAGAAGACCATTTGCCTGTGACTTTTGTGATAGTAGATTCTGGACAAGTCAGGGTCTAATTAACCACAGAACTGGAAACCATAAAGCTGAAAGAGCGGCTGCAAATGTTTTAGCAGAATATCAGAAAAAAGTTCCTAGTGCTAAAATGAATTCCACAGACACCACCTCTAGTATATCAAACACCCAAGATTCCAACTCCAAACCTGCAATGAAATCCGGACAAAGAGTTTATAGGTTTATTATTATTATCTACTCATATTGCCTTTTTATAAAATGTAGATTTTTTTAAATGTTGTAAGTACTAGGAAAATTAGTAGTAATTAGATTGAGCAGGGCGGTTTCAATTATTTGTGAAATATTATTGAATTTGATGATCTCTAAATAATTCTGTCTTGTCAAATTCATATTATGAATATATTATGTTTTGCAGATGTCACAAATGCAAAGAGAATATATCGGGAATAGTCAACCACATGAAAAGTTTTCATGGTATTAGTGTTAAAGGCATGTTTGAGAAGGGAGAATGTATGGTTTGCGGAGAGAAAATATTGGATAGAGCTTCTATGGAGGAGCATATTACAACAATTCATTCTGAATTATTTAGAAGACGAGCTCCAACTGCTAATTCCCGTGACAAAAAGAAGTTTGAATTTAAATGTAAACCCTGTAAAGTTCGATTTAAGTCGGAAAATCAGCTAAGGGAACATGATAAATTAATGCACGCTTTTCCTTGCTCTCGGTGCTCTGAATCATTTTTAAATGAACGAACTAAACTGGCGCACTTTCAAAAAGTTCATAGTAATGAAAGAGATAAATGCCCAATGTGCGATGAAGAGGTTCAGGTTGGCGAACCATTTATTAATCATGTGGAGAAGCACTTGAATCAGTGTTCTGTAAGAGTGGAAAAAATGAATGCCCATGACATAGATAAATTTCAATCGAAAGATGAAGAAGACTCTGATCTAAAAATTGATTTGACTGAAGAAAGCATTCCTCAGACTGAAGGTGATAGAATAAGTGAGGACGATGACGTTATGATTTTGGAGGAAAATGGGCCTCCTGACATGTCCAAGAGAAAAAAACCGAATGACAAATTGGATATTCGAAGCCACCCGAAAAATCGTTCAGATGAGCCTTCTCGCAAAAGAGTAAAAATATTAGACCCGAAAGAAAACTAAAGTTTTTATTCAGTTATGATTATAAGCTTTAAAGAAAATTTTGTCTTTCTACAAATAAGTGACAATAGTGAGTTTGTAAAATGACCAATCGTTGTAGAAGAGTTACACTTTCTCTTTTGTGAAGATTGTGTTGTGTTATATATTTATAATATATCGTTTTCAAAATGATGCGTAAAGTAACTCCTTTATTGTCTCTTTACGTACTCTAACAAAAGACCAATTAAAACATTAAAAAATCCAATTCTCCAGGTAAGTAACTCTTTCCAAGAAAAAATATTTAAACGTTGCCAACCTTATCAGTACATCACTGTAAAACTACCACTTTAAATGCTATAAATTTCGCGTTGAAGAGTTCTCAATGTCATAAGAGAACTAAACGTTTGAGTGTTTATTTCTGTTGAGCAGATTCTAAATTTATTAAATTGGAATTCATTCAAACAGAAATAATCGATGTTTTTTTTCTTGCTTTCCTGTTCAGTTTAGTATAGCATATCATAAAATATACGTACAGATTTCTTAGAGTAGCAGCCGACGAGAAATCGTTCGGTCTCTTTTATATAAATTTGAGTATATTCCAATGAATTACATGTAATACTGCAATTTGCATATTTATATATATATATATATATATATAATGTATATCTATTAAAAACAATGATGAAAAGTGATAATGTAAATGAAATTATCCTTGATCCAGATATACATGTGATAATGTTGATAGATGTAGATATTTTAAATATCAGAAAATAAAGCATTGAAGTTCATGGAAGACTAAATTTAGAAGTAATAATATTGAAACCTATCAAAAGACTATTTTGTATTCCCATTTCTTATATTTTCATTATATACTGCCAATATATAATATATAAACATATATATATATATATATATATATAGTATATATATAGTGTATATACGATTTATTTATGTAGATAAAAGTTCAATAAACTCTTATATAAATGACCATAAATAACGGAGATTTACTGAGAAAAACAAGGCGAAAGGATTACATAAAATGAATAGTGCTTTCTTTTCTTTTTCAATTTGAGCAGTTTTACATATGAAGAATATTAATAGATTTTGTTATAACTACTTTTTTTAAGTAAGTAATTAATTATCTGTTGTAGGCGATAACAATGTAATAAGTTCACTTTTAAAAAACCGATGGAAAGAGGTTAATATTAGAAAAAAGAAAGAAGAGTAGTACTTGTATATGAACTGAAAGGAACTTTTGGAGATTTATTTCATTTTCACTGTATTCTTTATCAGTAGTTGCCATTACTATATGATATATCTATATATTTATAATATATGAATATATATAGTATACAACAACATACATATAGCATATAACGTGTAGTACAAGTTTCAGAATAACCAAAAAAAGTAATGAAATTAAACAAAATGAACTAAGAATGATACGGAAAGATAAATTTAACTATAAGGCTTATATTTCTTTTGGAATGGTTGTATTTATTTCTCATTAAAACAATATTAAAAAAAGTAGAAAATCTGGAAAAAGAATATACTTTTGTGCTTTCGTACTTTAAATGAGTTTTCCATTAAATATATTTTAATATACTCTACAAATTCTATAAAGAAAATATAATTGAAAAAATGAATTCCCTCATTTAATAGAATGAAAGAAAAACCTATCTGTCTGAGTAAAAGTGTATCAAGTTAATTTGAATTAGAAAAAATCTTTACCTTATTAATTAAGAAAGAAAGAGAGAAAAACATTACAGTTACTTCTCTAAATCGTTAACGTAAGAAAGAAATGACCATTCCAAGGAAAAAAGAGGCATATAAATTATGAATGAAGAAGATAAATAGGATTTTTTTTTCATCTTCTTGATCTCTCTTCGAATATGAGGAAAATTTGAAAAATTCGTAACAAAAGTAAACAAAAAACAATAGAATTGTATATACAGCATATTATTATTATTACGCTTACAAAATATACTATATAAGTGTTAGTATTTTGTATTCTTCTTTTCTTCATTTTCTTCTTAGATGAGCTGATTACGTGATCTCTTTTGAAAGTATAAAGCTGGTTGGTATTCGCTCCATGGCATTTAAATGACGCAGTACAGAATGTATACAAAAATACTAGATTTGTACAATACTCTTAAACCTACATATGCATTAATATGAACATAAGAATTTAATATATTATATAATAATATTTGTTTATCATAGTGTAACATTTATATACAGATGATGAATAAAGGAATAGACGTTGCTTTGTTTAAAATTACCTATAATAAATGCGTCGTTAGTGCAATTAATGATGAAGGAGAATATATATTTATATATGTGCATAAACATGCTTTTTCAATTTAGGTATAAAGTATGCTTTACCTATAAATTATACTTAAAAACTTAAAAAATATGATGAAAAACATTGAAAAAATGAGATAATTCTTATATATTACATGATTAAAATAAAAGGGGGATAAGGAGGCGAATTAAACATGATAAATTTCTTTAGAAAACAAGAAAATATATAGAAGAATAGTATAAACAAAGATATATTTTTTTTTTCATTTCTCTCCATTCGCATCAAGACAAAAAGAAAATTTTGCTTTATTTTTTCTCCCTCTAATTCGTTCTATTCTCCATACATCATTTCTTTTCTTTTATGTTTTATGCCTATATATTTTCTCTATTAATTAAAAGGAGCATAGATAAAAAATGAAACAACAACAAACAAAAAAAAAAAAGAGGACTTTTCATGGCGCCATCTATGCTTCTATTCTTGTATTCCTATCGATGAAAGTTGTTTGGTGAGTTTCATCGCAATCAATGGGCAAATGTTTGCAATTTGTTTGCCTACAACTACATTCTTTATGCGATGATTTTGAACTAAAGAGAGGGAACCAAGTGTACTTTCGATTTTTTGTTTGAATTTCACTATTCTGCAGTCCATCGTCCATCGGAGCAGAATTTAAGCATATGGTTAACTTGTACATTCTCCCTGTTGAAAAAAAAGAAGAGAATACTTAAGAGTGATTATATATTATTTGTTTAGGTAAAGAAACTCTACAGTATCGGAAATGGGCTAGTCTGTATGTCAGTGAGAATACTGTTTTTTTGCAAACGTATGCTTATACAGTATAAAATAATATTTTTAAATGAGAGAAAGAACTAGGAAGAAAGAGATTCTCTGCCTCTACCGTAATCTTACTGTCATAAGGAGAAAAATCTAAAATTGCGGTGAAATATAATCAGACAATACCAAGGTTTTTTTGTAAACCTGGAAAATAGATATCATAAATAACAGAAAAAGACGATTACTGCAACAAGACTTCCTGTTAGCTTAGAAACTAAAAATGCACGGTATGAAGAATAATCAAATAGAGCAGGAAAGAAAACAGGAGGAATATATACATATATATGTATACGTATTCTATAAATTTATATAGACTATACGAAGAGCAAGAGAAAGAAGAAAGGAAGAAGTAAAGAAAAGGAATGAAATATTCTACGCATGAGAATTGAAAAAAAAAGAAAAAGGAATTCAAAACAGATATTTAAGTACTTTATGAGAGGAGAGAGAAACATAAAGAAAATAGATCAAGGCCGAACAAGTGCAAATATTTTGAAATCACGATCTTTTCTTTTTCATGCTATAACTAATCATAGCAGAGTTTTGCAGTACCATAGATATATTTTATTTCTCGATACGTTTTAACAATTAATTGAGAATTGTAATAATTACATAAAATCATATAAAAACTATTAATTATTGTATATTGGAATCGTAAAATATCCCAATATTCATTAAAGTTATATAATATATTATAAACAGCTATAAACAAAGTCCAAGTGTACATAAACGTTTTTCGTAAAGCTCTCTTCTACGTTTTACGAAAATATTACCTACTGCAAATTCTTCATGCATTTTTTAACAATTAAACAATATTTATTCACTACTTTCTCTTTCTTATTTTATATTTATGGAAATGTAAGCGACATTCTTCCTTTACCTATAGATCAGAAAGGAATCTAAGAAAATATGGGTTATATGACTAAGAGTTGCAGTTAGCATTATATGACATCCTATTAAGCTCATAAATTACCATCAATATGACTTATATAACTGCTATGACTTGTTGTTTATTGAATAAAATATAAAATATTACGTAATAGTTTACCACCATTCCTTCTCAAAGATTTTAATTTTAATACTTCAGTTCGTATTATGAGAAGAGTATTAATCCCTTTTTCTTTTCCCTCTTATCTTAATGTGATAAATTATTTTGAAGGTATGACGTCACAAAGCTCCACTAGGCAAATACTGAATAATTAGTGAATTAAGAACAACCAATAAACCAATATGTTTTTAGCATAAGTTTGTATAAGAAGAACGTTATATATATATATATTAGTATATATATATATATATATATATATATATATATTCTTTGTATGCGTCACCCAACCATATGTCATACTTTGCACACATTCGCAGAGCGGCACTTAAAAACTTCTATTCCCGCAATTTATTGAACTAAAGATATATCACATTGTTATTGTAGGCCTAGGATTATTTCCTAAATAAAAACACATAGTTTACGACGATTCAAAGAGAATTTTGTCACCTCTCATTTTTACAACATCCATTTTCTAGGATGTTTTTTAGACTTCTTCGAAAGCTATTTTATTACGCATTTATACTGTAGATACCTTATATAACAAAACAGCTACTTTTTAAAATATTATAGATTTAAGGCGGGGTAGTTTGTACTAGAAAAAATATAATTTACACTAATAATCATTATTAATTATGACTTTTTGTGTTGTTTTTGTTGTTCGTTATCTAATTAAAAAAATACGAAGATAGAAGAATGTTTTGGTATAGTAATGTATAAGAAGATAAATGTTTAGACAATAGTCTAATATCTCTAGCTAATGAAATATACAAGAAAATTCAAATTTTCCAATAATTAAAATGTTTTTTAATGAAAAATTATCATATTTGTTTTTTGTTTCTTCCA